TTTTTTTTTTTTTTTTTTTTTGCTATTCCAAGATGCTGTTTGGACGGTGTTTTGTTTGGTTGTCAGGTCCATTTTTTCTTCTTTATGATGGAATAGATCTTCATTCTTTTTATGCCTTTCATGACTTGATGACTTTTGCAAAGTACAGGCCAGTTTCTTAGAATGCCTCTCAGCTTTGGTTTGTGTGATGGCTCCTCATGGTGAAATCGGTTGTAACACTTGGCTAGAACATCACAGATGTCTTGCTGCATCCTCAGTGCATCAAACAGGATACTGAAGCTGCCTCTGTCCCCTCACTGGCGAAGGGACCTTCCAGGAGGTGGCCAGGCCTCTTCACTACCAAGTCGCAAGTTTGCCTCTTGTAATTAATAAGCAGTTTATAGGTAAATACTTGGAGACTATATAAATATCTTGGTCATCATCAAACTCCTACCCATAAATTTTAGCATTCTATTGGTCATTTTTGCCTGAAATTTTTAGTGTGATGTTTGCCAAATGATAGTTTTCTAATTAAATCATTCTTTCCATATCTATTAGTTGGCGTTTTACAGTAAAAAGACCAGTCACTTCTGATTTATTTGCTTTTCATTCATTTATTTTTATGTTAGTATATATTCATGGACTCAGATTATTCAATGTCTTATAATCTGATACCATCATTATTTATTTTAATAATCAAATTATCCCAGATTTCATCAGCAAGCCCATCTCAAGCTAGCTCTCGAGTCCTTTTGACATGGCCTCATTCTTTGAATACTTCCTTAATTTCTGAAACAACACAGTCTTCCAGGATTATTGTGACTTTTGCTACCCAGGCCCTCGAATCAGCTACTTCTCCAAAACACCTCAGTTCCTTTTAGTGGAGAATTAAATTTAGAAACCAAGTACTGCGTATTAGGTGTGTATTGCTACTTCTAAATCCTCTAAGCAAAGAAAGCTAGGAAACAAGGAAATCAATGAATATGTTTTTACACACACATCTCCACATTATACTCTTAACACACACGACATACCGGGTAATATACCATGAAAATGAGTATGAGCATAATATATACTTCCTGTCTATTGAAAGGTCTATATTTTTAAAAACATTAATAAAAGATTATTAAAAACCAGAGCTTTAAAATGGAATTTTGGCTAAACAACTGATCATTCTGATTTTTTATTAATACATTATAATTTACCAACCAATCAACTCATTTAAAGACTTTAGTTATATACTAAATTGCAGTGGAAAGACAATTCAATGCCCATCAGGGAGAAATAATTATGATAATAATTTATTATTTATTGTCATCATTTTTAAAAAGCATAAGCAATTAACATTTGTTGAGAAAGCACTGTGCCTTATCTTTTGTGCATGCCTTACTTGATTTCATTTTTGCAATGACAGGATGGGGGAGGTAGTGTTTTGTGGCTAGTTCACAGATGAGAGTGAAATGGGCATCATGAGGCCAGAACACCACCAGGTCTACCATCTTTAAAGCCCTTGCTTTTTACCAATATTCGCTTTACTTGTGGGATTGGCTTATTTTCAAGTTCTGGTGAATAGAAGATAGATCTACTATGAAGCCCTAACTCTAATGATTCTGAATATTCACAAATACCATAGTCTCAAAGAGAAGAGAATGATGTAAACTTCTGTCCAATCACTTCTTAGAACTCTAGTACAGGAGGGTGACACTAAAGCTGGCAGAGTTTCTCCCAGGCTACACACAGCCCCAGGATTTTGACTTGCTCCACAGAGTTCCAGAACCTCGGTGAAGGACATATTTATGCCATAACCCTCTCCTTCTCCAAGGAGACCCATTTAAAACACTTGAGGACAACAGTGGGCCTTCATGGTTGAAATCTGCCACCAAAATAAATATTTTATTCAGACATACAGATGTGAGTCTCCTCTAAACAATAAAGACAAGCAGAGGTAAATTGCATTTTTATCTATCATCACATTCTTTGCTATATGTTTCTTTTAACAAATAAATTCATATTTAATGATGAATGATAAAGAGGAAACAGGGATGCTTTTCTAAGAGGGTTGAGTTTTATAAGAATATGATGCCTGAATGCATCAAACTAAATAACAATGATTACTCTAACTGGAGAGGAAAAGGAAGCTCACGGACCTTGAGGAAATATCCTTTGAATCATCTATCATTTGAAGAAGAAAAAAATCAGACGATGCCCATGAAAGTAAGAGGGGCCGCAAAGTAAGAGAAAAGGGTCAACTGCGAATTAAAGCAGGTGACGACTTGTGTCAAATCCTGGGGCCTGACCTGAGGAAGTGAGTCCCTGCTTTGTCTCCATGAATACCTTTACACGCATCTGTCTTCATCCCCTCAAACAGTGAGCTAAATAGGATGGGAAATGAAAGCTGGAGAAAAATAAATTGCACCTACCTGGATCAGAGATAAATCCTCAAGCTGTAACCTGAAGAGGTAGTTTCTACAAAATAGAAAAAAGAGAGAAGTTTCATTTTTAATAGGTCCTAAAAAAAAATTACAGTTCATAAAAATCATGAGAACAAAGGAAAAAAAAGCAACTTAATGATTTGGGGCTTCCAAAGAATCCTCCTGCTAAGAATGTGTATCACAGAGCTGTCCTTGGACCTCAGAGTTCAAAGAGGTGCCCAATATGTCAACAGACACATATCTAGATAGGCAAGAAATTGAGGAATGTGTACGTGTGTGACTCACTTGAGTCTACATTGTTAAGTGGCTCTCTTGATCTACTTGAAATGGAGAAAAGGACATGGGCATTCGGCTCCAAAAGTGAATTCAGTATGATGATATAAAACCATTCTTCATTCTTACGGATCACCTACATTCGCCATGTTTTATAATTGTGTGCAGGTTTTGAACTCAACAATGGTCTCCGTGTTACAGTGCTCTGCCTTGTTAGATGGATTCAGTGTGTACTAAGTTTAGAAGCAGGAACTTGTGGGTCTCCCATGAAGAGTAAGAAAGAGTCAGCTCTGGTTGGTCGAGTGGGAAACCGAAAATCAGGGAAAAGGAAACAATCAAATTTCAACACCAAAGGGGGAGCGCAATGAAATACACAATCGAGATCAGCAAAACACAGGAAAAAGCCAAACGCATCAGTGTCATTAGGCTTTGGATCACATTAGTGTGGCTTTTAGAGACAACGGATTGGCCTCACTTGGGTGAGATGCTTCGGCCTCTAACTCAAATCATGAACAAACGCCTCCTTGACTCCATGCAGATGAGAAGCTGGTGCAGGAGCAGCACTCCAGGGGGAATGGAGGGGACGGTCAGCCCAGGTAGAGACGATAAAGGCGGGGAAAGTTTGGCATATGCTAATAGAAAGGAGACCCTAAGAACACGTGATTGTGGAGAGGTTTCCCCATGAAGCTGAGTCCAAGGTTGTATCTATGGATGGCCCAAGGTTATAGCTATGGCATAAGGATATATATATACATATACATACATACATACATATATATATATATAATGTATATATACACACACACACACACACACACGGGCTGGTTCAAGGTTATATTTTTGGAACTAAAAGAATAACAAAATTTTCCCAACACCAGTAAGAAACAAAAGTAGGTTACTTTCACTATCTGGAGAGGTTTGCAGATGTCAACTGTAGACACGCTGTCCCAGTAGAAGTGACAAGGGACAGCCAAGTCAGGCCAAGGGCACAGCCTAGAGCGGACCACGAAACATGCCTAGGGGGTGGCTAAGAAAAGGGAGCGCAAAGCAGCGAAAGCTGACCCCCCACAGCATGTGTAGACACACTGCTGGAGGAAGAAAAAGGACTAAGTTCCCCTTTGGGGTGGCCTCCCGTGTCCCAGCATCTTCCCCTGGGCACTCAGGTACTTCACAATTTGTCCCCCAACTTGGGGGCACTGCCATCATTCACTTAGTGAAAACTGCCTCCTCCAACCACTGCAGTGGCCTCTCTGTCACACTTTCTGTCCCTCCAATTTTACCTCTGAAATAATGCCATCTAAGCTCCCAGAAGAATGGCTGGCACAGTCCACCTCCATCCCAAAGCCATCTGGGGAAAACCTGCCCTCTCTTTATTTCAGTGGAGTCATAGCCCTCTCTGAAGAACCAGTGTAAGGGTGCCTTCGGAGAAGGAATAAAGCAGCAGAGTCTATTATTAGCCAGGCACCACGCGGAGGCAGGGTTTCCAACAGAAGCATCTTCCGGCAGGGGAAGGAATTCACATGACCTCAGTGCACGTCCGAAAGAGCACAGCCCAGCTGCCAAGGTAGGTGCCCTGGAGGCTGGCTAGCATTTGAAGAGTTGCCAAGCTCTCACCTGATGTGAAACAGAGACCAGGAGGACTCCTCTAAGAGAGGTTAGAAATCTATACACACACACAGATAAGTCTTTTGGATGAGGGGTAAACATGTGGCACCAGGGGCAATGGCTGGCTATAAGGCGGTCATCACCTGTGAGCACATGGCTTCCAACCCTGACCTTCAGGCTGGCTTCCTAAGTGTCCTCCTGGTTGTAAAAGCAGCCAGCAGTCACTGCCCCTCCACTACGGGAGACAGTACTGCCCAGTGCTTCAGAATATTTGTGCAAATGCCAAAGCTCTTCCGCCATACAACATCAGGAAGGGGGCTTCAGCACACCACATGCCTCAGTCTTCTCATCTGTAGAATGGAGCTAACAGTCATATCTGCCCCTTGGGCTGATTTGGGAGGTTTCAGTCCAAGGAAAATGTGTAGAATGGTGTCTAACCCACTGTAAAAACTCAATTTACAGTAGCTATTTCTAGACAGCTTATGAAAAATATTAAAATTCCCCGATACAATGAAATTCTCAGCATATTCTCCATTACTGGATTTTTGGAGAAGAAGACATTGCTTATCTTGCATGGTTCTGGGAGCCGGGCATCATACTCTTTCCAACTCACTGGTTCTTTCAAGAAATACTTTTACTGTAAATATTCCCAATAAAGGAAACCATTCACATTTTTAATAAATGAATTACCTGAGAGCTTTGATGATATTGCAAGACCATCCCCCAGCCCACACACACACCCTCTCCTGCATACATACACATGTGCATGCCCACACAATAGTGTGGGAACTTTCTAGAAAGCCAGTTCTCATATACAAAGAAACAGCTGGAAATGCCTTCACACTGTTGAGGAAAGAGAATGGTAGTGTCCCCGATGCTCTGTAGAGCTCTGGGCAGGACAACTGGAGGGAAAAGTTGACAGTCTGGGGAGAGGGTTGGAGAAGGTACACGGATCATTCTCTGAAACTCCTGGGCCCAGTTTTCAGGTGTTTTCCATAGAAGAAGTGCTATAGCTTGAATGTTTGTCTTCCCAAAATGCAGGTTAAAATTCTAACCCCTAAAGGTGAAGGTATTAGGAGGGAGGGCCTTTGGGAGGTGTTTTGGTCATAAGGGAGAGACCCCCGTGAATAGGATTATTGCCCCCATAAAAGAGGCTCCAGAGAGATCCCTGGCCCCTCCCACCGTGTGAGAACACAGAGCTAGGAGTCGGCCATCTGCAACCTGGAGGAGAGCTCTCGCCAGAGCCCAGCCAGGCTGCCACCCTGAACTTGGACTTCCCGCCTCCAGAACTCTTAGGAATAACTTTCTGTTGTTTATAAGCCACCCAGTCTGTGGCATTTTGTGACAGCAGCCCGAATGCACTAACACAGGAAAACATTGATTTATGATGACAAACATGCCACATCTCAGTCTACCTCACCCAAGCAAATCTACCTCTACTGACCATCCTTTTTCTGACCCCCACGTTCCAAAAGTCTATAAAGGTAACCCTCCCTACCCCCAGCCATTCCCCGTGGGTTTTAACCCCAGACACCTATGAACCATGGTACCCTCACAACCACCTCATCGGTGATAACTCAGTATGGTAGACATGAACAGAGGGGGTACAGGGGAGAAGGATGCTGCCTTGGAAAAATGTCACAGTAGTTATGCGGTACCATCACCACCACCATCTTAATGAAGAGAAGCACCAAAGATTTGAACTTTCCCCTTGGTATTTTCTAGGTTACAAGGTGCAAGTTAGTGATTTTTTTTTAACCCATCTTCAAATTTTTGACCTAAAAAAAAAATCATAGAATCCAAGAATTCCAGAGCTAGGTTGTCTATAAAAAGTATATACCCCTCAAGTGGTAGATGGGGAAACTTCTTCAAATTAAGAGGTGTGCAGTGATTTATCCAGGGTTATTATGATTCAGAGAAAGTCCTAGAATTAAGAACCCCCCACACACACCTTGGTATCCCTTGTCCAATTGTGCCAGATGGCCTCACCAATCACCCATTCAGTGTTTCCTTCCTAATTTCACTGTCACCAAACACACACACACACACACACACACACACACACACACACATGGGGGAGACAGACAGATACAGATACATGCAGTAATAGTTCTTACAATACAGTTATTTCATATCTTCAGTGTTCAGCCACAGGTACATTTGCAAATCATTTTGAGATGATGCATGTCTTAGCACGGCTACTGACAAGCTTTTGATTCTAGGTAATTGAATCTCACCCCTGGGACTGTGCGATCTGACTCTGACATATGTCTCCCCATTAAGAGAACGTGTTAATCCTACTGGTCAGGCTGATTAAATAGTGCCTCCTTTCCCCTCCTTCGCTCTCATAAATTCTTCCTGGAACTGCTTACCCATACTTATTTTGAGAGTGCACAAGTTTCTCCATTTAAGAAATAAGAGAGTTAAACTATACCATCTTTCAGTATGTTTAACTAACACAAATTCGCTTAAGACTGGGACCCTGTCTAGACCTATGAATGACCAATATAGCTGGATGGACATATAGTCATTTAATGAAAGACTTGTTATCATGACATATTTCAATAAATTCCTGAAAAACACTTTTCGAGTGTTTTTACTTTTTGCAAATCAGTGCCATATATCAAAATCATCTTAAATGAAAATTCAGCATATAAAAAGTAAGATAATCCTTTATTAGTAAAAATTTATTCAATAAGTACTTACATATAATATTTGTTAATCATAAAGTCAGTTGATTACACTGATGTGAAAATTTTGAAATTGGTATTATCACATCTATAAGGTGTATAGACTCAACATCTATTTAAGGTCTATTTTCATGTTAGTTGGTTGGTTACATTTTGTTGCTGTTTTTTTTATTTGTTTGATTTTGGAGACAAAGACTTGGTAGATGCTTTCAAATATGTGTTTAATACGTAACTGCGGTCTACAAAATCCCCTAGGAGGCAATTCAATGCCTTGCTGGACCTTTGCATATCAGAAACATGTAATATTACACATTTCAGTATTCACTTTATCTGTCATGATTTTCAACGATTAAAAATATATATATTTTAAAAGATGAAATATAAGTGAAACATTCGTGGAATTCCCTAATCTCCTCCCTGGAAACTTAGGATCTGACAAAACACAGTATGAACTCTACTATTCTCA